CACAGAGCATTGGAGAATTCGAAACTGGATTATTGTGTGTCTCTTTCAGGTATCAAGTAGATGAAACTTCACCAAACCTTTGGGATCCTACTGAGGAATATTCATACGAAATCCTGTCTAAACCTCTACTTAGAAAAGCTCAAACGCAAGATGTTAAAGCAAACTAAATTGCAGAACCTATCGTTATTAGTTATTTAAAAACTTGAAACTCTTCGKATCGAAGGACAAATCGTTTCTTATTGATATTGATGAACGATTTCAATTATTTCATGACAGAAATACCAAGAAAAGCAAGTTTACACAATGATTATATGTGGGATATTGCCACATTTAGGTGATGGGCTATCTTTTTTTTGGTATTTTATCATGGCTAATCTTAACTGAAATCCATGTTTGTTTCCCCGCTAAAATTTGTCTTATCCAATCATCACATTTTTTTTCTTATCGTTTTTCGTTTTTCCGACTCCGGTGTTGGAAGTTTTCTCTCTGTTTGTAAGTCATACGCTCTGCTTTTGTCATCAATAACCGCTCAGAAGACATCAAAATATGTGATGACTACTATAGTACAAAGCACTACTTCAATGGTACGATGGCCATCTTTGCAGTGGCGAAAATCCACGTTGCCTGTAAAATAATTAAGTCTTTATACGAAATGGCTGCCGTACGTTAGCTAAATTTTTCAAAATGTGTAAAAATGGAGCAAATTCAAATAAAAAACCGTGGATACGTGATTTTTTTTCAAAAGTGCATATTTTACATACAGATGTATGGTTGGGGGTATGGCATGTCCCATCATGTGGTCTTGTGTTTTACTGTCCAGTTAATTTTAGAAACAATATTTTTTTATCAACAAAGAAGGACTCCAAAGTACTTGCATGTCAAATTCTTTGATTAACCATTTTGGAAACATTTCGTTTTCGTTTTATTTCGATCAAAATAAAGTAGAAACTTTTAATAGTCCACTTCGCGGATAACACAGCTATTAGAAATTGAGCAAAAATCGAAAAAATATTACCAACACTGGAAAGAACAGTATAAAATTAGTATGTTTATCAGGTTTGAGCATGATTCGATGAAAATTCAAGGAGATACAGCGTTTAAAAGTTGGCAAAATTTACAAAGAAATGTATGGGCTGTCGGCATGAGATCGGGGTTGACCTTGACTTGTTACAACCTCGCCAAACATTTCTATGCAAAATTTAGTGTTTTTGAAGTGCCGTATCTCTTTTAATTTATATCAGATTATTTTCAAACTTGGCAAATTTGCTGATTTTATGACGTTCTTTCCAGTGATGTCAATGATTTACCATAACGACGTAATGTAAAATTTCGAATTATCCGCGAAGTGGACTATTGATCGATTTCTACTTTTTTGACTTTTTTCAATTTTTTTTTTCTGCGCTTTTTTTAAATTGTCACTTCTTGTCATTTCATCGGGCTGTCCTGATTTTTTCATAAAAGTTAATTAAAGTTTTCGAAAGTTATGTAATCTCGTGCGTGCTTTTGAATAGTACATGCTTGTCTAGCTTTCAACACACCGATACAAGGATTCTTTCTATTGTTTCTAAACAAAGTCATATTGAATATTCTATTGTATTTTGGCGCGATTCCTAGAGCGTCATGCTTTTGTATAGACATTGTCTTAACAAACATTTCTTCAGAACATCAGTTGCTACAGTTATAAATGATGTTGGGTTTGTTTTGAATAATAATACTTGCTGTTAGAACGACAGAGGAAATCTATTTGAGAGAGTGTCGTTTTATATACGACTTAAGCTACATTGCTTCTCCGAGGTATGTCCCACACTTTTCATAGCACACTCAGTTCACGAAATTCTCGAAGTTGAATACCTTAGAGAGCGATATAGAGAAGGTCTAGCAAAAAAATTTTATCTCCATCAAGGGAATGGGGGCGTTTTAAAAAGAATAGTGACAACTGTACTAAACTTATGAAGCTCTGTGTAGAATCGTGTATTACTAAAAAGAACTTTTTTTTGTCTTTGTGCGACAAAACAATTTGATATTTGACAAGAATTTTATCTTGCATTCCATTTTAGCTCAAAATTAAGAATACTTTTGAGAAATATTTTAATTGAGTAGTTTGTCCATACGTTTTTTTCTAAAATTTGACAGATTTTTCTTTTTAACTCAAGCCATATTGATTAAGATTAAGGGCTTTTAAAAGTCCCATAAAAGAAAAGTAGGGTTCATGGTACCCTTTGAAATCCTTGAAAAAAACTGATGGAATTTGAAAACTCCTTTTTAAAGGCACTTTGGTCTGAATCATTGAAAATAACAGAAAACATTCCCTTTCACTCCTTGAATACTCCTGGAATATGATGACGTTGGAATTTTTCTTTTTAGTTAAAATAGTCACTATCGGGTAAATTCTAAAAACCACCTGCCGGAAACTTCCGGAAACACCAAAATATAAAATTTAAAACATATCCCTTGAAAAGTGCAACTTTTGCGCAAGAAATGTAGACTTTCATTCCAATTTCAAGACGGGTCACCATCGGTCACCATATTTATCACGCATGTTGTTAACTATGTTACGTAATCCCCGTTGTAGTTACATTAGAGCAAAGAGTGCACCGCGTATCTAAGATTTTAATCCCAGTTACAAACCGAACGGTAGGCAGTATCTTCTTTTTATCTAATGAATAGTGAGAGTTTTTTCAACTTGTATTTCATATCGCACAATATAATTTGACGGAAAATATCTGGTTGTAATACCAATCATTTTTCCCAATATTGTAGCAGTAAGTGATTTTTCAAACTTGCATAAAAAAAAACTTTTTGCTCCATTGATTTTGATTGATCCATCATGCAAAGACAACATCAACAACTTTGGCGTTTTTGGTTTTCGCTCTTGCCTGACGGATTTGCCACAATGTGATTCACAAACAGGGATTGTATGGTAAGGGTTAGGTAACATTGGGAGTGATCACTGGAAAAAATCGCGCGCTTTAAAGGTTGTAAATTTGATGTAAATATGATGTAAGTGTCCAGCCTGGTAAATGGAAATCATTTACATCAAATTTACAGAATTTTGGACACTTACGTCATATTTACATCAAATTTACCACTTTAAAGCGCGCGAATTTTTCCAGTGGATTCGGCTTAAAATTCGTGTTTTTCCTGCAGCATGAAGACAAAACATCTATTCTTTTCCCTGGTGACCTTGATTGGACCCGTCTGCGGTTTATCAGCGTCCGCTGAGCCAGTAGAATCCAACAATCACCAGAGCTGTAAAACCGGAAGATATTTCTTTAATGACCACGCCCTTGTGTCAAGCTCTTACAAGACGACAACGGCCCCTAATTTTGGTACATGCTATGCAAACTGCATGGACGACAAGGAATGCTGCAGCATTAATTACAAGAAAACCACCAAGATTTGCCAGCGTAACAATATTACCAAGACCAAACGTCCAGGCAATTTTAGATCACAAATACAGACGATCTACGCTGAGGTCAGAGATTCACCAGGTACATCACTAGCACAAATTAATGAGATTTATTCATTAATTATTCATATGGAATTAAAACATGTGCACAATGTACCTTTTTAGTTT